CTGTCACCCATCCATCCCGCTCGGATCGGGATCTGTCATCCGTCCATCCCGCTCGGATCGGCATCTGTCATCCCATCCATCCCTCCGCTCGGATCGGACCTGTCATCCCCTTCACAGCAGGCTCATCCCGGGCACATACCCTCAGCGGGACCCCTCTGCCACCGCCGGGGGTGCCCAGGGGCGCGACCTGGTTCCAGTCTTGCACCAAGTCCATCCCCACCATCAGGGGCCCTGGTGAAAAGGCAGACTGGGACTTAGACTCCGCGTCCTGGGAAACCCCGTGCTGTGGACCACTAGAGATCCCGTTGGGCGGAGCCTGACGGGCATCTTTAAATACCGCGCCCTGAGCTGTCATTGGCCGCCCAGCGTGTACTCACGGCGCCTACTGTGCATGCGTGAGTCTCCCTCAGCTGCGGCAGACACTGACAGGGGTGTTGGGGCAGAGACCCAAGCTAGAACCAAAAACTCTCACAGTTGATGTCATGGTTCATAACTTATTCTCGGTGCATTTAACAGCCTTGCCACTAGTAAAATAATACGCAGAATCACCTGCGGAACGTCTAGGTTTGAAATATGACATACCTGGTTGGATAGTTAAGGAGATATAATTTTCTGCTCTCCTGTATATGCCAATTAGGGGGTGTAATATACCAGGCGACTTGTATTAAAGTGAGCTGTCCGAATATGTGTTCCATGTTTATGTAATTATGTCCTATCTGAAGATATAAAATTATATGGAAAAGTGAGTTTTTAAATGTAAGTCTGTTTTTACGACTACCTGGAATGTCTTTGAGGCTCAGTGAGGCTTGGTTTATGGTTTTACGATCCCTTCTCCAGCAAGAGTCTAGCAAACATAGGGGCACCAGCTAGTGTAGTTTATAGCCATGACGCCCTCCCAATGAGTTTGCTGCCTGTGATCTCTGTCATCATCCAGACCACATGTCACTCAACAGAGAGGGAGGGGGGATATCGGAGGAATCTGATTTGGGAGAGATACAAGATGGAGGGGTTTGGAGCAAAATGGATGACCGCGTCAGTCTCTGTGGGCATGATTGGTACACTGACCCTTTCAGGTGTCCACAGGTGTAAACATGTCCCATAGGAAATCATCTTAAAGCGGAGCTCAACTGAAAAGGGGAAGTTCGGCTTTAAGGACTGCTCCCCCCCGCTCCTCATTAAGAATTGGCACCTTTGGGGAATTTGACAGGTACCCGCTCCCACTTCCGTTTTGATCGCCTAGGCGATTGGAAAAGGAAAGGTGTTCTCCCTCCCTGTAGTCTTTTGGGACACGTGACAGGTCCCAGAACACTACAGGTCTTCACGAAGCGCAGTGCTACTCGCGCATGCGCAGTGGTTACCTGGCTGTGAAGCCGCAAGCTATCACAGCCGGGTGCCCACAGTGAAGATGCCGGCCTCCTGGAATACAGGACGGCCGGTGAAACGAGCTGCAGGGGACACACCACGGGACCGAGGGACAGGTAAGTGGCTGTTTTTTAAAAGTCAGCAGCTACAGTTTTTGTAGCTGATGACTTATTTTTTGATAGGTCGAGTGGAACTCCACTTTAAATGTACTGTACTGCATTTCTGGCAAATGCTGCTTAAAATGTGGTGTGGCCCTAGGGTCAATGCGTTTAGAAAACAGCAAAAATGCACATACAAAAACATGTTCCAAATATACAGCATGTGAAACAGAGGAAAAATGCACTTAAATAATAATAAAATGCGAAATTAAAAGAAGACAAAATACACATTTAGTCTTTGTTCACATATATGCGTTGCGGTATATATCACATGTGATTTTCACAGGAACCGCACTCCTGTGCAAATCACATGTGATTTGTGTGTGTTGCAATTTGAGGCATAGGGCTCTGGTAGGGCTCATCCTGTTCCTCCTTGCACAAAAGGGCAGATACCGGTCCTGCTGATGGGTTAAGGACCTTCTATTGCCCTGTCCAGCTCTCCAAGAGTAACTGCCTGTCTCCTGGAATCTCCTCCATGCTCTTGAGACTGTGCTGGGAGACACAGAAAAACTTCTGGCAATGGCATGTATTGATGTTCCACCCTGGAGGAGTTAGGCTGCCTCTGCAACCTCTGTAGGGTCCAGATATCGCCTAATGCTACCAGTAGTGACACTGACCCTAGCCAAATGCAAAACTAGTGAAATTTCATTAACATCAAAAGCAACTGAAACAGATTAACAACCTCCTCTGCTACTTAAATGACCAGATCAATATCCAAGGAGATTAACTGACTTGCTGCTATAATCTGATTAAAAAGTGTTCCTTTAATTCTTTTTGAGCAGTGTACATCTTCCAATGGATCTTCATAACAATAGTCTCTTCCTGTAGCATGAAATATCTAAAGCCGATGACTGCCATCTCCATCTAATTTCCTGTACACTTGCATACAGCCATGTAAACACACACACACACACACACACACACACACACACTCTCTCTCTCTCTCTCTCTCTCTCTCTCCTTCATTCTTTTCTAGCTACCCTTTTTCCAGTGTGTTGTTTGTACCTGTGTATACATGCATATTATGTGTAAACTAAAGCACTTGAAGTGGTATTAAACCCCAAACCAAAAATGTTATTTTTGCAGCAGCTTACCAATCATTAGATGTAGTGGCTGCATTGGATTTATTTTCTTTGGCTTTTTCCCTTGGTTTTCACTTGGTGATCTGGCCAGTAACATACCTCCTGTATTCGTGAGACACAACTCTGGAGGAAGAAGAAAGGAGGCACAGCAGACAACAGCATTGTCAGTCTGGGAGGGGAGGATAGTGTTAAATGTATTAGCAAATTTAGAAACCGTAGCAAATGGAAGGCAAACTATAGCTCACTGTCAGGAAATGCGCATATCTATGCGCAGGTGCAGAATCTCTACTAGCCCTGCACATGGCCAATTGGCGAATGCGCAATCACGCACACAAGTGTTCGCAAATGTGCATACGCAGCGGCACCATGCGGGCTATTTAAGCTGGGCTAGTGCCTTGCTTTAGTGCCGTTTGGTCTAATTCCTTTGAGCAGCCGTGCATCCTGTTACCTGTGATTCTGTTGATGATCTGATCAGTTATTGACCCTGCCCGAACGTTGCTGATCTGATCTGTCATTGACCCTGGCCTGCTCTTTGACTATTCTTCTACCTGCTGTTTATGCTTACTCTGCCTGCTATTTGCCGACCCAGACTGTCTGACCTTGTCTTACTCTGCTCCTGCACCTGAACCAGCTTATCCTTGTCAATATCCTGCACCTCCACCTGCATGCCATCTGCCAGTCTGCACCTGCACCTCTGCCAGAGTGTCATCTGCCAAGCCGTTTCCTGAACTTCTGCCAGTGTGCCATCCACTAGCTGCTCCTGCATTCCTGACATGCCAACATCCATCAGCAGCATTCGTGCACCTCTGTGCTCCAGCACTATTACTCTACCAGGGCTCCTCAGCCAGAGCTGAAAGGGAGGCCTACCTCTGCACTTAAGGTTCTTCCACCAGGTATGTTACACTCACACTTCATAAGCAGTTACAGCAAACAGTATTTTTCCTTTTGGAATAAATGTTTTGCATGAATAAATAAAAGCTGATCATTTTAATGACCTCTGCCAGTGTTAAGTGGTTTGTCTCATCCCGAAAAACCGATACATTCTGCTGAAGAGCTTGCTCTTTTAAAAAACAACAGACTTACTGGCCAGATCCCCATATGAAAATAGAAGAAAGAAATTCTGAAAAAAAAAATGAATATAGCTATCACATCTAAGAATCAGTAAGCTGCAATATAATGTTTGCTTTTGGGTTTAATAGTGCTTTAAAAGTAACATTTTATTTTTCAAAATGTTCTTATTTTTCTTAACTCATCTGCATTATGGACTTTAATAAACCTGTGAGCCCTGTCCCATGGATGACAATGCACCTGTGTTAAGATCTATAAAAAAAAAAAAAAAAAAAATAATAATAATAATAAAAATGTCCCGTTCTTTAAACCTATTGAAGTGAAGTCCATCATATAACCTCATCAGTATCGACCCTTTCCCTAGAACTCACTCCTGCTACAATATCTCTTACACCACTTGATTCTCCTTCAGCATTAATATTTTAAATTCTTGGCCATGTATATGCTAAAGGCAGCCAGACTATGTGTCCCTGTCCACTGGAGAATCACACAACAACCCACACTGACAGAATGGTTTTCCCATATTAGCAGAAATGGAGGAACTGATTCACATTTCACAAGATAGACTTTCACAATATCACATAATGTAGGCCTGCTGGATCTATTTCAAAACAATGGCTGAATATGTCAGCATAATTAAGGGCAGTGGCTAGGGAACCTTTTTTTCCCCCCTCTTTTCTTTTGTCTCTTTCTTTTCTTCTAGCTACTGTTTACTTTGCAATGTTTTTTTCCTAATGCATCTGTATCTACTTTGACAGATCCTTACATGGACTTATACGCCCTCCAATTAGCTGAGAAACTCTATTCTCTCGTTTTCTGCTTGATGCATTTAGGTCAAAAGCTAATATACGGGTGTTCAGAATACAGTTTTCATGACCATGTACTTAACTGTGCATTGTCACTCTGTTTTCTTTTCAAGAATATACATGTGACCCTATTCCATGCTGCGGCTGTTGTACCTGTCTTTTATACATTTCTAGTTACCGTATTTTCCGGCGTATAAGGCGACTGGGTGTATAAGACGACCCCCTAATTTTCCAGTTAAAACATAGGTTTTGGGCTAAATTCGTCGTATAAGTCTACCTCCCTTCTGAGGCAACACCATTTAACCCCTAGCCTACAGGGCACTTATACCCACTTCCCCCCCAGGCCAATTTTCAGCTTTCAGTGCTGTCACACTTTGAATGACAATTGCGTGGTCATGCAACACTGTACCCATATGAAATAGGTGGCACTGATAAGGAGGCACTGATGGGCATTGACAGGCATCACTGATGGGAACTGAAAGGCAGCACTGATACATGGCACTGATAGGCAGCACTGATGCGCACTGATAGGCGGCACTGATTGGCAGCACTGATAGGTGGCACTGATGGGCATTACTGATGGGCATTGACAGGCAGCACTGAAAGGCAGCACTGATATATGGCACTGATAGGCGGCACTGACTGGTACTAATTGGCATTGATAGGTGGCACTGACTGGCACTGATGGGTGACACTGACAGGCAGCTCAGATGGGCACTGATATGTGGCATTGATGGACACTGACAGCTGGCACTGCTAGGGCTACACTGATCATCAGTGCCCTGATGATCAGTGTACATGTCCCCTCTGCGGAATGCCGATTACCGTCTCTCCTCTCCTCTGTCAGCGTGACAGCTCGAGAGAAGAGAACCGGCATTTCCCTGTTTACATGTGATCAGCTGTGATTGGACACAGCTGATCACATGACTGAGCTGACATCTTCGTCTCTTTCCGTGATCAGTGATCCGCTGTGTCCGAGGGACACAGCGCATCGCCGCACATGCGCAGAGAATGGGAGGACGTCATATGAGCCAATCACGGCAAGTGATGTATTCTATTAATGAATACAGAGCCTGCTCGGATTGGCTGCATCAGAGAGGCGGGCTGATGATGTCACAACTTCAGCCAATCCGAGCAGGCTCTGTATTCATTAATAGAATACATCGCTCGCTGTGATTGGCTCAGCGCAGCACACTGTATTTAGCTGACGCTACCGTACAGTATTAACGCACATCCAGCAATTCTATATCCGGCGTATAAGACGACCTCCAATTGTTGGGGTATGTTTTTAAGTAAAAAAAGTCGTCTTATACGCCGGAAAATATGGTATTCTTTAATAAAACTTTTATTGGACAAAAAATAAAAAACATGGTTCCGTGAATCCAAGAGCAACGATGGACTTCTACTTTCACTGCCCACCAGTCAGTCAGGGGGGCATTTTCCGTTAACCAGCAACCAATGTAATTGACCACTAAAGTTAGAGGACAGCACGGTTTTAACGATCTGCCTTTCTTTTCTGCAGTTATTTATTTTAACCACTTCCCGACCGGCCGTTGTATATAAACGGCCGGACGGTGGCACTGCAGGGTCGGGTGGCCGTCTATAAACGGCCTCCCCGCACCCTGCTTGTGCGCGCTCCCTGGGAGCGCGCAGCACCGCGATCCGGTGCCCGCTGTGTCCTCCGGACACAGTGAAACACCGATCGTCGGACGGGACCTCTGTACGAGGTCCCGATCATGTGATCACTGATTGGCCAATCAGTGATCACATGCAAAGTAGTAAGCAAGATGTCACTTCTGACATCATTGCTTACTATGTGTGAAATCTGTGAATGATCACAGAGGTCACATGGTACAAGGCTATTCACAAAAGCCTTGTACCATGTGACAAGCTGTGACCAATCACAGCTCACTCAGTTCTTCTCAATGAGTACAAGAATGCACACAGAGAGAAAGAGAAATGATTGCTTTTACATCCTATATGGGTGTAAAAGCAATCAGTGTAAAAAAAAAAAATCTTCATCACCCCTCACAAGTAGTACAGTGTCACCATGGTGACACTGTACTGCTAGGGTGACAGTATGTAAAAAAAATAAAAATAATAAATAATAAAAAAAAAAAAAAAATTTAAAAAAAAATGTTTAAAAATTATAATTTTTGCTTATAAACTAATTTGGATTTTTTTTTTACTAAAAAGATAATGGAATAAATTTTGGCTAAGATTTATGATGAAATATTATTTATTTGCAAAATTTTATAAAAAAAACACTTTTTTTCAAAATTTTTGGACATTTCATTTACATAGCAAAAAAAATACAAATCCCAGTGGTGAATAAATACCACCAAAATAAAGCTTTATCTATCTCAAAAAAATGGTAAAAAATTCATTTGGGTACAGTGTTGCATGACCGCGCAATTGTCATTCAAAGTGTGATAGCGCTAAAAGCTGAAAATTGCCCTGGTCAGGAAGGGGGTAAAAGTGTCCGGTCTGGAAGTGGTTAAGAATATTTCTGAAAATATTTCTGTAGGGTGTTTGCAGCAAAATTATCTGCCCTGGGTGTCAAATACATTAGGTGCACCACATTACTCATTTTTTTTAAATCAAGAATTCCTTCAACTTCATACTAATGTGCCATGAGCTGCAGGTACTGTATTCATTTTCGCAGGGGTTCCCCAAGAACCTTAAAAATATTTAATGTGCTCCTCGGGGTAAAAAGGTTGATATAGTCTATTTCCTGTTGGATCTCATTTTGATTTTTATTTGGAGTGTATTTTAAAAGTTAGTTACCCTTATGTGACTTTTCATGTTTGTTCTTTTATATTTATTGTGTTAAACATATAATTTTATTTTTTGCCTATAACATTGCATTTGCAATTATTGTGCCTTCCTTTGTAAAGCGGAGATGCAACTTCAGGCGCGATTTGTAAATCGCAAGTTGTACCCAAAGATGCAGTTGTGTGAACCAGGGTTTAGGTGAGATGTGTGGAAATGTTAAAACTCACTACGCAGTGAATGTGGCCTTATTGCTGAGCCATGAAAACACTCAGGCATGCATGGTGGCTTAGTGAAGCATTTCTCAACCTTTTTTCAGTCAAGGCACCCTTTAAAATTACGAACAATCTTGAGGCGCCCTCTAAAATAAAGGACAAACTCAAGACACCCAATTCTAAAATTTAACAAATATTCTAATAGTTTTACCCAGACCTTTTTTCTGAAAGAACAGATGCAAGTGCTCCAATCTCACCTGCGTCACCCTTTTTTGCTGCTCCTGACCAACCTCTTAGCAATGTCCTTTGTCTCTGCCCCCTATACACCTCCTAGTACTGCTCCTTAGAGAATACAGAGCCAAGTATCATTTTGTGATGTTAAGTAATTTGTATGGAATTGGTTAATAATAGACAGATCCTTTGCAGCAACAGTAGACTCCCCCAAAAACAAAATACCCCCACCAGCAACAATAGAAATGCCCCAGCAACAATATACCCCTGCTGGCAACAATAGATCCCCCAATAACATAAGAACCCCAAAGCAACAGTAGATACCCCAGAAGCCAACATCAATAGACCCTCCCCCCTCAACAGTAGATTCCCCAACAACATAAGAACCCCAGGGCAACAAGACACCCCCATTAGCACTATAACCCAGCTACAGTAGATCATCAGAAATCAACATCAATAGACCCTCCAGCACACCCCTGCACCCTTTGCCATTGCATTGCATTCTGTGCTAGAGGTGCCGGCACTGTGTCCCCCCACATTCCCACTGAAAGAAATTCCCTGGTTTTACCTAATGCAGCAACACCCACACATGCAGGACACCCAATGTTACAGGGGATTTATTCTTCCAATGCAAATACACATTTCCACACCGATACTGAATAGTATTCCAATGCGTCTCTTCTCCGAGTTTCTCTTTCACTGAGCTAATGTGACCCCAGTGCTGACGGAGAAGTGCAATGGGGGGGTCAAACGAGGATATCATGCAGGCAACCGACTTCCTCCTCACCAACTGATGACATTATTGGTTGTTAGGATGGCAGCGGCTAGAAAGTTATAATGGTGCACAATGAAAACATGAGGCTTTGTGTGACTAAAAGGCCAGCTTGACCTACCTGCTGGCTTGTATACAGGTTTTGGGCAATTTTTCGGCATTTTCCCAAGAAACCCCTGAAGAAACCTCAAGGCACCCTGGTTGAAAAAGACTGGCTTACTGACTAGCTCCTGCCACACATAAGAGTGAACATATTTTTTTCCTGACGAGGAGTAAACTTCGTTCTCAGGAAAGGCAGCTGTACTCATAGCAAGAACTGTTGTTACAGCGCTGTGCTCACTGACCGCCCACTTCACCTCAATAATCTGTGAATACAGAGACTTCTTCTGCGTCACTGGTATTAATCTGCCCATGAAATCCCCGCCAGTCTGTACCCACCAATCCAGTGCCGCGCCCCTCCCATTCCTCACACTGGCACACCCCAATCCGTAGTGATGCTGGGAAAAGAAACAACAAACATGGCGGAGTTTCCTAGCTTCGTCGCCTCAGGCTCTTCCTTTGCCGTTCGGCTTAAAGTTTATCTGCGCCGATACTGGTCCTACGTATGGCTCTTGCTGCTGCTTGCGGGCCTGTTTCTTCTCTACCACTTCCGAGCGCCGCTCCGCCTGTACGAGACCGTGCTGGCCGGTGAGTGCACAGCCGCTTCCTACAGGCCCAGGCCGTTGGCGCTGCTCTGTTGCCTAGCAACGGGATTCAGGTGTGCGGACTGCTGTGTTGCTGAGCAGCTGCAATACAAACCCAGGACAGGCAATGCCAGGACTGTTGTGGTACTATAAGGTGCAGCCTGTCTAGTGTATGTCTTTAGGGTAAATGAGTCAAATAATTCTACTTACACAGCAACACATGGGTAAATACATAACTGCAGAGTACTTATATACTTCTCTGTCACCTAGTGCTGCTGAAGCCCAGGAAAAATCCTTCCTGGAAGTGGGGCAGGTCCTGTACTGTAAGGGTTAAATGTTTGTTTAGGGTTAAGGGGGCAGGAAAACTTTACTTGCGGATCCTCTGCTCCCCAGTAAAGGGCACACCTCCATTCCTCAGCAGCAGACTGTTCCTTTGCATTTTTACATCGAATGCATGGCTACGGACAAGGCTGTGGATAAGGGGGTACTACTGGTCCTTATGTATGGGGCCCAGGCAGCTGGGTGAATCAGTTGTGGGCAGGGAAGGTGATCAACAAGGCAGTGGGGGAAAATTGGGGGCAATCACTAGAACTGATCCCCTGTATGGCTCTCTCTGCAGCAGTTGAAAGTTGGCTTCTCCTCTGCATCCCACTGGCTTTCAGCTTCAGTAAGTGCCCTCCAGCTGCAGCCATCACCCTCCCTGTGCATACGTTTCCCCCTGTTGCCCAGATACCCCTGTTTGCCCCCATCCCCAAAGGGCTGCCGGCTTTCCCTCCTCTCCTTCCCATTGGCAGCTGCAAGCACACAAACAGGTCCTTCAGGATGGAGAGCTGGGGAAGGCTCCGTAAACATGTCACATTTACCAGCCCCTTCCTTTCCTGAATGAACAGAATGAGTGATCGGTATCAATCACTCACAATGTTTATTCATAATGGCGGCATAGCAAACTGTGCTTTTTTGGGATGGGTGGTGGCCCCTTCAGGTTGGCTGTATGGGGCCCCGTGGTTTCTAACAGCAGCCCTGGCTACGGGGCCTGCATCAATCTTGATGATGCCAGGGGCATCTGACCTCCAGAGCATAGGGAGCAGAGGCCACAAGGGGCAGACTTGCAGCACGAATAAACAATTGGGAGCAGAGGATTGGGGAAGTAAAACCATAGCTCCCAACTGTGCCTGATTTCGAGAGATTGTCCCTGATTTTGAGATAAGTCCCTCTTTACTCCTTATTTGTCCCTCAGTTTGGTCTGATCTATATAGTTGTATTTA